AAACTACTAGAGAATGTAAAATTAGGAACACTATACACAACATTAGCACAAAACAAGAAAGGAAGAATTGTTATATATGTCAAAGAAAAAATAAAATAAAAATCAATATATTCGGATGAAGAGGGGAGAATTTTAATGTTGGAAATAGAATTAGAGCAAAAACAAATCTTATTAACGGCAGTATATGCACTAAATAATAATCAACATGAATTTTTTTAAAAGGTACATAAGAAACTAGTGGATCTGGATTATGAAAATATTTGTATGATTGGGGATTTAAATGCAATAGTTGATGTTAAAAAAGATTATAAGAGTAGTAAAAAGAACAAAAAGAAGAAAAATATATTACCAAAATCATTCTTTGACATGGTAACAGAACTCAACCTTCAGGATATATGGAGAGAGACACATAGATCAGACAAACAATATACGTTCTATTCATATCCACATCAGTCTTGGTCTAGGATCCATATGGCCTGGGCAACAACAGATGTACAAAAAGGGATAGAGGAAATTGAAATAGGGCTTAATGATTGGGCGGATCACAACCCAATAATAATAAAATGGAAAGCCAGAAACAGAGAAAAAGATGGTCAATGAATCAAAGACTGTGTAAAGATAAATAATATATACAGATGCTAGAAAAGGAGTTGACATTATTTTTTTCAGGTAAATAAAAAGGAAGAGACATCAACACAAAATTTGTGGGATACTACAAAAGCTTACATTCGGGGTTTGACAATTACATACAACTCTAAGAAAAACAAAGAGGAGACTTCAATAAGGAAAATTACAAGAAGAATTAAAAAATAGAAGGTGATCTACAGAAGGACCTACAAAATAAAAAGATGAAAGAAAAATGGAATATTATAAAACACAAGATTAACCTGACAACACAAAAAGAAATGGCACAGAAAACTAGGATGGCGAAACAAAATTACTTTGAAAATGCGAATAAAACTGGTCGATGGTTGGCCTATAAATTAAAAAAAGAAAAAGGTAAAAGGACAATACACCAACTACAAGATGAAAGTGGAACAGTACAATATAGATGGGAAGAAAAAAAGAAAATAATACAAAATTTCTTTTCAAAGCTATACCATCAGGAAGATATACCAGATGATAAAGTCAAACAATATATAGAGGCAGCAAAAATGAGCAAAATCACTGAAGAACAAAAGGAAATGTTGAATAGACCAATAACTGCAATAGAATTAGAAACAGCATTGAAAAAACGAAAAAACAACAAATCACCAGGCCCGGATGGAATTCCAGTGGGGTTTTATAAAAATACACAAGAGTCACTACAATGGATAATGTTGGAGATTTACAATGAGGTGCTGGAAGAGGCAAAGATACTGACAACTTGGACTGAAGCAATCATCACTCTCATTCCTAAGGAAGACTCAGACCTACAACAAATTCAAAATTATAGACCAATTACTTTATTGAATACAGATTATAAGACATTTACAACAATATTAGCAGAAAGGATAAAAAAAATTTGAATAACTACATCCATCCAGATCAAAATGGATTTTTACCAGGATGACAAATAAAAAATAACATGAGGATAATACTGAACACTTTAGAATTTTACGAAGTCCATCCTGAAAGACAAGCTACACAGGTTTTTCTTGATGCCCAGAAGGCATTTGATAATCTGAATTGGAATTTTATTATAACACAATTGTACTATATGGATTTTGGGACAAAATTTGGAAAGATGATTGAGAAAGTGAAGATAAAACAAAGATAAGTGTAACCAAGAAAATAAAATATTTAGGGATCTGGCTTACAGTGAAATGTTCCTCGATTAAGGAGGACAATTATGATAAAATATTACACCAGATAAAAAAAGATTTAGAAAATTGGGAAAATTTGCAAATTTCATTTTTAAGGAGGACCGCTACGGTCAAAATGAATGTATTGCCAAAAATATTATTTCTGTTCCAGATTATTCCAATAAAATTAGGGAAAACATTCTTTCAAGAATTAAATAAATTGGTCACTAAATTTATATGGCAAAGGAAAAACCCAGGATTAAATTAAAACTCTTGCAAGATATGAAAGATAAAGGGGGATTGGTGTTACCAGAGTGGGAAATATACTACCAAGCATCGAGCTTAACTTGGCTAAAAGATTGGATGGATTTGAAAAATACTAGAGTTTTAACAATAGAAGGACATGACTTGCAAGCAGGGTGGCATGCATTCCTATGGGACGAAAAACATAAAATACACAGATACTTTCAAAGACACATAGTTAGGAATGCATTGCTACAGACTTGGGAAAAAATAAAACAAAAACATTATATAAGAATTCCAATGTGGTTATCCCCAACAGAAGCTCTGAAATACCCAAACCTACTGGATATAAATAAGATAATTAGATACAAGGAATTAGTAAATGAACAGGGAAATCCGAAAACAAAACAGGAATTGGAACAAGATATTGGCAGAGAGATTGACTGGTGGACGTTTACACAAATTCAATCTAAATATACAGAGGACAAAAAATTATATGAAATCCAAAAAGAGCCGCAAGAATTGGATAAAATTATACATGGAACAGAAATAAAATTAATTAGCAATTTATACAAATACCTATTGAGATATAAAATGGAAGACGAGGTTGTCAAAGACACAATGATTAGATGGGCAAAAAGTTTTGGATATAATATAGAATTGGAAAAATGGAAAAAATATGGGAAATAAATATAAAATTGACTATGTCGGCAGCATTCAAGGAAAACCAGTTGAAGATGTTTTACAGAGGGCATCTTTCACCAGCGAAGCTTGCCAAGATGTTCCAGAACAATTCGCCAACATGCTGGAAATGTAAAAAAGTACATGGAACATATTATCATTTATGGTGGACATGCCCAGTTGTGAAAAAATACTGGACTACAATAAGAAAATGGATCGAAGAAATAATAGACCAACCCGTAGACTGGAAACAAGAGATCTTTTTGTTGGGTATTTTACACAGAAAATATAGTAAAGAAATATGTTACTTAATTTTACATATAATAACAGCGGCAAGAATAGCATATGCACAGTGCTGGAAAAATGAGAATATACCATCAGAGGAAGAAGTGATAACAAAAATCCTGGACTGTGCTGAGATGGACAAATTAACAAAAGAGATAAAAGAAAAGGAAGACACAGAGTACTGTATAACATGGAACAAGTTGTATAACTGGTTGGAGACTAGAAATAATAGAGGAGAATAAATATGGAAAGGTCAAAAGTGAAAATATGTGTATAATAATGTATAATAATAATATGAATTATTCTTAGTAAGAAGTAGAATATGAAGGAAGAAAAATGTAAATAAAAAACATCGGGGCAATAAGGACAAATATTTTAAAGAAGAATAAGGGGGGAAATGTAAATAATAGAAGATTACCGTTACGTAATCGCTGTTTAAAAAGGGGGAGGAGTATATACTGTGTGTGTATGTGTGTTTTGTTTTGTTTTGTTGGTTAAAAATAAAAATTTAAAAAAAAATAAAAAGGCGAATAGAAGGCTTTCTGTCTCTCTCTCAATAATGGACAAATACAGTATAATTGCTAATTTTCTTAAGATTTAAAAAAAATTGATACTTTTCAAGACAGAAATATGGTTTTGGATTATGTTAATATTTGTAAGAATATAGTTTTTATTAATGCGGATATGTACAGGTGACTGTGTTTGGTGTATTTGTTTATTGTTTCTATATATATTTACCTTATAAATGGGGAACGGAATTAATTAGCCTGCCCATGGGCTATTTCATTTATAATACATTCATTTTCTTATCTTTTTTGCAGTTCATTTGAACTTGATGTGTAAAAAAAAATTGCATGAAATTTGTTTGCCTATTTCTTGTAACAATTACCAGATAAATAATCTTGTAGCTGTAAGGACACCTCCCCACAGCTGACCCCTCAAGAAAGTAAAACTCTTGAATCCATGTGGTTGAATTAAAAGAACTTTTACTGAGAGAAAGTGGTTGCAGGAAAGTCAGGTGGAATCTGAAGATCTTGCACAACACACAAAATTATTCTTTCAGTTTCCCCAAATTCCAATCCCCAACCAGTCCACCAGCATCCAATATGATGCTGCGAAGATGTTTTGAGAATGCTGAGGTGCTAGGCAGATAATAGATCATTCTCAGGGCACAATGGCCTTGGAACCAGGCTGGAACTGGCTGGGAAGGAATCTGCTTCATCTTCGAAGACAATCCCCCTCAGTGCTTTGAGGTTTTTATGATCAGTCGATACCTCGAAAGGCACTTGGCTCTTTTCGAGGAAAATGCTTCTAGGTCAAAAGCACCCAGCGTGCCGCATAAGCCTCTTTCTCCCACACTGCCCACCTTTGTTTAGTTTTTGACAGTTTTCTAGAGGTGTAAGTTTGCAGCTGACCCTGCTCATTCTTCTGCAATAGTACAGCCCCCACAGCTATGTCACTAGCTTTGGCCTGAATGACAAATGGCTCATTTGGGTCTGGATATTTCAGAACGCGCTCTGCTGCAAATAGCCATTTGAGTTTCTCGAATGGTGCCTGATATTCCAAAGTCCATTTCAGGTGCTGGCTGGGTTTTGGTTTTTCTTCCCCCTTCATTTTCAAAAGATTAGTGATGGGCAAAAGATGGAATGAATGGCGGTAAAACTTTGCAAAGCTTATAAAGCTTTGCAACTGTTTCCTGGTTTGGGGCAGAGCCTAGTCCAGTATCGCTTGAACCTTTGGGGGGTCCATCTCTATCCCGTCTTGTGAAATGCGATAACCTAGTCTATTTTACTTTGGTGAAACGTGCACTTGAACAGTTTGGCGTACAGTTTGGTGGCTTTTAGTTTCTTAACCACCACCCTCACCAATTTCACATACTCAGCCATAGTTTCAGCCATATTTAAAGAAAGGTGAAGTGTTTTATATTTGTGATTATATTAATTCATATTTAAAAACAGAGGTGTATAATTTTGTTATTCATTCTTTTGATGTTTTATTAATGTATAGGTCCCAGCCGACCTTCAAAATGAAGTTCTAATTAGTCTGCTTGATACTGATTCAGATGTTGTAGACTATTTGCTGAGAAGGAAAGCTTCCCAGTCATTGTGAGTAATTTGTTAATTTTCTTTTATTTGCCTCCATTGGGGTAATATTATCATAATTTATCATAATTCTCCAAGGTTTCCTATTTCAGAACTCTTGGCATATTTATTTAAATAGTAACTATGAATAATGTTAACCATTATGAGTTAAATTATGTGCCTCTTTTATAAAATGTTAGCAATTATAACCCTAATACCTTTAGAATAACCTTTTAATGGTTTTTATATGACTATCTTAATTTTCAAACCTATTTTAATAAAATTAACTTTAGTTAAATGTCTGAGATTGTCCAAGGCCTTTAGTGCTCCATCTGCACTAAAACCTGGGTCCATACGTCATGGCAAAAGTGCAAATATGTCTGCACTTAGAACTTTTTGGGCTGATAGCATACTTAACATTTATATTGTAATAAAATTTTAAATAAATTATTAAACAGAAGGTTAGCGTGTTGCTAAGAATTGAACTCAAGAATTTATTTTTAAAAATGTTTCTGGGTCCCATAAAGAACAAAGAAGCATTTTAGTCACTAAAAAATAGCCAGATTGCAGCACAGTGCTTGTTGGGATGTGTGCCTATCTGCCTAGAAAAAAGATCAACTCAAGCTGAGACAGTAGATTACATCCTGGAAAGCTGTGTGAAGTGACACCTTAACAGTGTGACTTTCAGTCAATGTTTTGTATTTGGTCCTGCCCATGATAATATGCCATTTGTGAAAGTGCTTCTAAATGCTTTTACAATTCAGAATGAACCCAACAGTTGGGAATCTCTGTTAATTAATTTAATCTCTGTTCTTCTACCTTTTATAGCTGTGAGGGCATAGAAATTCCAGTGGATGAGATCTTTCCTCTTGCTCAAAAATATTTCTTTAACAGTTGATTCCTATTCAAACAAAAATTATCTGCACATATTGCTTAGTTTAAGAATGTTTAATATTTACAACTGCTCAAATCTGTATAGAGCCTGACCAAGAAGGCCAAGTCAAGTAGATAATAGCACCTTTGTCTTCTTCTAGCAACTGATAATTGACAGATATAGCCATCTGATACTGGGAATAGTGTCCTTATTTTCCATGTTAAATTTGGCTTAGTACAAAAAAAATATGTGAACCAATGCTGCTTTGTATGCATATTATTTTATTCTACTTTGGAAATGAGGGATGATATGTTACTTCCTTAAGCCCTGATCCCTTATTTATTCTTAAGTCATCATTTAAATCTCCCGAGAAGAAATATATCTTTTCAACATTTTCCAATAAATCATTGGGAACAGTTTATTGTAATTCATAGTTGATAGGACCAGTAATTGTGCTACTTATTTCAACAAGAGTATTCAATGTTTGAAACGACAGAATTATCACTGTAGTTTTGTTCTCCTCTTAGATGCCTAATTAATATTGAAGTGCCCAGGAATCATTTTTATATGTTTTGATACTAACATGTTTCCAGCTGTAACTGTGAAGTCATGGGAAAGAATTTGGCTAGAAGATTAGAGGGACAATTTATTCATCATGAAAAGAAAATGACAATCATAGGACACATCTTTTTTTCTGTGTCAATCTGGAGAGACGACTACATATTCACTGGGCTATTTTTCCTGATAAGCTGGAACCAAAATGTGAGATACACATGTCTTGGGACCATCTTAATATTCTTGATAATGGATTTCAAATCTTGACATGAAAAACTATAACTCTATAGTGAGAAGTGAGCACATGTCCATCAATAATTGGTCATATAGCATAGTTCAGTTGCTACTTGTAAAATGGGCATAGTGATTTTCTATGTAGACTTTTCTCTTGATCAAAACATTTTCTTGCATCTACTTTTTCTAATAACTTCACTGTTTTTCTTTTTAACTGGAAGACTATCTGCTCAGTCACAATGAAACAGTACAGTGTTATATAACACTGCTTGCTAATGACAGTACAGTGTTGACAGCCTATTTCTAGAGTCTTCTTATCCTTTCTAATATGGCTGGATTTGTCAGGATGAAATTCATCCCTAACTCCATAATAAACTAAACCATCATTTGAAAATGAAATTAAGATTCTTGCTGTGAAGGATTTCTTGTTAAATCTTAAATAGAACATAGAATGGCCATTGTAAATTCTTAGGGAATATTTTTGAGAAAAAAACCTAGAATGTTTAACTTTTATTCAAGGTAAGGTATAATTTGAAAGCTTTTATAAAGTTTTATTTTATTAAAAGTAGTATTTAAATGGATTGTCCTTTGTTCTATGGTCATTGTTTGTTGCAGTTGCTTTTTTTCATTATATTTCCTCAGTTCATTATATTGTACTCAGTAATGTACAAAACACTTCCTGTGTTACATTCAGATTTACAACATGTTCTTAAAGCTTTCTTTTTTTAATTAGAATCTTGGATATAACTGTCTTGAATATAATGTAACAGTAATTTCACCTACATTGTGTTGATTCCCTATAATTGTTCTCTATTAAGGCTGTTATTTTCTGTAATTTTTACTTTTATTCTAGCCACATATTATTGAAATACACTGTTCTTTACATGGGCTACATTTTATTAACTCCTATTTATGTTTCATTTTATCAGAAGCCCTGAAATGCTTCAGTCTGAAGGGTCATTCTCCATAGAAGGTAGACATTCATCCATAGACTCAAACAGAACCTCAAGTGGCGATATATCACCATATGACAACAACTCTCCAGTGCTATCTGAAAGATCTGTTTTGGCAATGCAAGAAGATATGTCCCTCACTTCTGATAAGTTACATAAAGTACCAGAACAGAGCACATTAGGTAGCAATTTTCAGCCAAAATCAAAAGAGAATTCCTTTGGTATGATCAGCATATGCCATAACTATGAGTATATATTGGTTCTAATATCATTGTGAATATTCTTTTATAGTAAAAATTATTTTTATTGTAAATATCATTTTTCTTAGTGAATTGATTTCCTTAACAGAATAGAGTCAGACTACTAGGGTTGGACAGATACAGTTTATCAAATTTAAATTACGATTCCTAACAGCAAATTTCTGATTTTAATTTAAAGATTTTCCAAGAAAACATTCTTTGAAAATGTTTGATAAGGTTTTATAAATATCCGAACAATATCTATACAGGTGAAAAGATTTTGTTGCAATTGAAAAGGGTCTTTATACAGAAGGCTCTTCAATTATACTAAAAAAAATTAGAATTCAGTAATTCAGAAGTGCAGAGTTTGTACATCAATTCAGATATACAAAGTCAACTAACCTGCTAATACAAAATACATTCCATTCCAGTCATAGGTTTAGTGTTCTAGTATATGAACATCTCAATATCTGCATAATATCAGTGCAGAAATACAAAACATTTAAAAATGAAATCAATTCTAATTCTTTGCAAATATTTTGAATTACAGGTATTGTACATTTTTCTTGAATCTTGAATTTTATCTTTGAATTTTTGAAAATCACATCTTTCATTTTTCAATTGAAGAATGTTTGGGCCAGAAACAATCACAGAATGAAAAATTTTATGAACCTAAATAAAATTATTTTGCTTAAAACGGGATCCCAATATTTCATGCTCCTTTTCATCTGAGAGTTTCATTGAGTCATACACATGGGGATCTATTGCCCATATTGTAAATAAATCCATTGAGGTAACAAAAGTTCTTAACATCAAATTAAAACATTGTTTAGATCCTAGCTGTTGTTTCTGTTCTTTGGTTGTGACCCACTAAGATTTTAGCTTGATATCAAGAGTTTTGGCTACCTCTGGCTGCCTTGTTTTCTTGTGGCGAAAATAAATTGCAGTTTTATTGTATGCTGATGATAACAGTGTTACTGTCACAAATGTCAGTTGGACTGAAATAAGGGCTACGTGTCCTAGCCACTAATTGTCCCAGGAAGTACTTGAAATTTGATATACTAAAACTAAGATCTTATTTTTGGCAAAAGACCCCTGGGTCCCTAACCTGACCATATAACTAATCAAAATCTTTAAATATTTGGGTATTTAACTCTACCAAATGCGGGTCACGCTAAAATTATTTAATTCAAAATGCACAAAAATTAGTGGTAGCAATGTAATCCTTCTACTTCACTAGATACATAGCTTCTTTACCCCTCTAGAAGGATTCAGTTTAAATTCTTAAATAATATGTTCCAAATGATCCTATGTGTAGCTAAAGCAGGGAAACAGGTTTGATTAAAGTAGAAATGAGTGCATGGATTTGTATTAATTCCAATGGAAGAGAATATATGTAGCTCATGAAGTGTAGAGTCCCTGGTGCTCTCTGACCCTGGTTGCCTGCCTATAGACTCGAAGAGCAGGCTGACTAGAGAAAGTGAAGGCTACCTTCCTCCCCTCCCAGGGTAAGTACAGGAGAGGGGTGAATAAAGCTACAGCCTTGAAACAAATGTGTAGGAGGAAACCCACATTTTCTCTGCAACCAGTAGCAAATAGAGAAAAGCAGCTGAATAAAAGAAGGCATTTTTTTCCTTCAAAGGGAATGGGTGATTCAGAGGAACAAGAACTATAGAGGCACAACAAAGCCAAACACAATATGAAAAGGTGCAAGTATTCTACATGCTGGCTGTTAACAGAAAAAACAAGAAATTTCAAAAAGGGAAATTAAGGCCTAAAGCAGAACAGGATTTATAGAAAGAAAGCATTATTATAGAGCATTGTAATAGCAGTTGAATAGAATAAATAATAAATAGTAACTAGCATAGTAATATAGAAATAATAACAATAGAATAAAATGGAATATATTATAATGGCAATAGAAAGCATATAGATTTGCAAGTTTCATATTGAACTTTTATATCTTCTTGTTTTACAAAATAAAACATCTCTTCAGGATCTAAAAGCTATAAAAAGAATAACATTACTACACATCAAAAATCTATTAGAAATGATCAATAGACTACTGTAACCACACAGTATCATCATAGCACACAAGCCAACTAAAACCCTCCATCTTAAGTAAACCAAAAGACATACTAACTGAAGAAAAAAAAAAAGCAATGCAACATACATTTTAAGGATTATAACAGCTGCTTGTAGAACAAACAGGCAGAACACTAGCAGAATGTGTCCATGAACAATAACTAGCAGTCAGGAGACATGATGAAACTTGTTTAATCTCACAACATGTGGCAAACTCAACCATAGTTTTACTTGGGAAGCTGTGCATCCTTGACCAATCTAAATCAAAAAATGCTAGGGAATTCCAAGAAGCTTGGCATTCAGACAAATCAGTCATCAATAAATATATAAAAATAAACCACACAGATAATTAAAGCTACAAAGGAGACAAAATTACCTAGAACACAGTAGTCTACACCCAAAGAAACAGGGATTAACACCAGACAAACAAGCAGAAAACAATACCATAATCAAGGAATTACCATGGAGAAAGCCACACACTGATTAGTACTGATGATGTAATAAAATTGCAAGCAAACAACCAAACTCAAAGTATCAAGGACTCCATATTTGTACTGATGCCTGGATAATTTGGGGGGGTTCCCCCAGAGGGTCGAGGCCACGTGTGTCAAACTTGCCACGTCATGTGACGTGTCACAACGTATTGCAACTTTTTTTGCATTGCCGGAGCTGGGGTTGGCATGGCCTCCGTATGATGCAACCAGCCCACGGGCCGGCAGCTTGACACCCCTGGTCTAGGCAATTGACTCTTAGCAGATAATTATAAATTAATGTAGAAAAGGACAGTCTTGAAAAAAAGTACAAAATTGTGGTTACATAAGAGCAGCCATCCTGATAAAGGGATAGGGTTGAACATTTCCTGCATTCAAAGTGCTAAATATTTGAAAACTCATTTGGAACAATCTGACTTAATCAAAATAGTCAATCCCCATTTTTTTAGGTTTGTGATTTTTTTTATTCTATTCAATTGTGTCCATTGCTATGTACTCCAAAGAGTACCAACATCAAAACAGCTGTCTCAAGGGAAAATACTTAAAATATTTCTTATGGGTTAACATTTTGCCCTTGTGAAGGAGATACTGAGTGCATATTTTATGTCTTTTTACATTGCACCTGTCTTATCCCTCAGACAGGTCTGATTTATGTTTTTATTTTGCTATATTTGAAATAACAATTATTTTAACTATTTTACTAAATGACAGAATTCTGGTAGATTATTGTAACAAAGAATACTAGCAATACTAGAGAATATATGTAAATTAGGATTGAACTGTTGGACTCTTGGTTGTTCTCTCAATTTGGTAGTTTCTATGGGGTGAGGTTTATTTCTTGATAATTCTTTAAAAATACCCTTATTAAGGAAAAATCCTCCCACACCAAGACTAGAAGTACAAGATGGTTCAGTCCCCTATATACCAATGATGTTACCTAGCATAGTACATCTGCAGGAAACAGCTAATTTCCGAGAAAATTGAGAACCCAAAGATTACCACTACTGCTACTTCTTTCTAATTTATATCTTTATTAAATACTAGGATTACTTACATTCATATTCCTTCTAATCCTACAGATGTGTCAGAGGACAGTTTCCACATCTGGGGCACCTGGCATTCAACTCTGAAAAGTGGTTCCAAAGGGCTGGGAATAATAGGTATACATATTTTTGTTTCTATGTATTGAATAATTATCTGATTTGATTATTTATATAATAGCGCTATTTCATTATAGTATTGTACTAGAAGAGGACTGCTAATTCTCTTTCTCCAAAAGCCATCAATTTTATAAAGTATGGTTCAGTGAACTATAGTTTACAAAAGTTTATACCACATTAAATATTTTTTGTGTTTGAATATCATAGGAGTTTCTACAACAGATTTTTTTTTTTGCAAACTTTCAGATATTATGATATTCAAATCAAGGCACAACTATCTGTAGAATAGTTTGCAATATAGAGCAGGACTATTTGTATGGAAAGGTTGTGTTTGTATATGTGAGTAATCAATAGTAATTCTAGATATCATTCCCAAACCTGATGTAAGATCCCAATGCCCATGTCATTGTAGATTATCTCAAAAACTATGTATGATTTGCTTTATTATTGATCATTCTCTGTGGTTTTTTTAGAGTCATATAGAGACATCTCTGAGAGCAGCTCCTTGCGGCCAGGGCAGTGCTCCCTTTCTCAAGGCAGCCTGTCATTGTCTTCTCCTCAGTGGCGGGAAAGCAATACAGAGCTAGATAATGAAAAACAAATCATCCAAAGGAGTCAGACAAGAGCTGCCCTTTCTGGTTGCCATTTGCATCCCCCTCTGTCTCAAATCTATAGCACCCCACAGATTGAAGTAGGTAGGAAGAATTCCAGCCTGTCCAATTCAAAACATCATTCACCTATAAGATATACAGAGAACTTGATGGAGCATGATTCAGATGCAACTTACCTGCATGCTGCATTTAAGCCATCGCCTCTAAGGCAAGCTGAAGTAATTCAAAAAAATAGACCACCACCTCCTTATTCTGAAACAGCAAAACAAAGCAACTTATCATCCCCCCAGCCAGCAGTATCTTCTACAGCGTATCCATTGTGGAAGCTTCAGAAGACAGACTTATCTGGGGCCCAGGGAATGAGGATCATCACTCAGGTGCCTGAACAACCTACCCAGCATGAGGAGCAACAGAACCAAAATGAAAGAAAGTACTCCTTTCCAGATATTGAGCAGAACAGTAAAGATTTGTCAGAGACAGACTGGCATGGTTGGCAAAGCGATCGATGGCAAATTTGGGAGATTTTATCACCTGACAATCCAGATGTGCTCCCTGAAACATTAGTATGAGTGGAGAAATCAGCAGGTCTTTTCGAAGTAGGAAAAACTGGTAATGGTGGACGGGATTTATACTGAATTATTTTTTAAAGTTTTAATAAAATTAAATTTATTAAAAGAATTTTAATAGCAGTGTAAAATTTAGTGACACATTTTTGGGGTTTTGTAGAAGGAAATTTGAGATGGCAATTTCAGTCCAAACTACTCTGTGAAATATAAGCTGTGTATACAATAAAAATGACCCAGGTTTTGTTAAGATACATTTATGTATCTGCAGCTCAAATGATTGTATATTATGCCGATGTTTTGTGCACAATTGCATTGTATTTATATGCAGAAAAATGCTTTTTTGAAAATATCTTTTAATCATGCACTGCTAATATTAATATACAACATATTGATATCATTGGAAATGCACAAACTGGCTTCTATGCTTTTAATTAATCTGTTTGTGAAAGATGTATATTTTCACTGACAAATAAGGTGGAATGAAAACATTAAAAGCCATATATTTTATAGTAAGGAAGTTAAAGAGTATCTAACATACTATTTGCTTGCAAAGAAAATTTAATGACCATATATTTTTACTCTTTTAGAAAGCAATTCCAGTCACCTCTTCATAAACATGTCCATGCGTATACCATATACAAAAAGATCCCAAAGATTCTTCTACCCATTCCACGTTAGGCTTGTAAAATTTTGACATGAATAAGAAAGTACAGAAGAGGGTGTTTATAAAGTTTTGTTAAAACTGTTTATGTGACAGACCCTTTTGAATTTTCAATATTTCTTTATAAATATGAACTAAAATGTGATCTGCTCTCCCCATAAACTAGATAAAAAGAACCCAATTAAATAAATGAGCCAAAATCCCCAACCCTTATATATTTATTAAGGAAAATTATCTAAAGCTACATATCCAAAGCTACAAAAACTAAATGAACCTTTGCTTTTCAGTAACTGGTATGCCCCTGTTGGAGAACAATAACAACAACTAAACGTTTCCAATAACTGTTGATCCTGCACATTAGCTTGGAAGAATTCTAGCTCATTCCTCCTTTAGTTCAAGAATGGTCAGCTTCTTTGCATAAATAGTCCTTTCAGGTTTTTCCACAAGCCTTCCATAGGATTACAGTGAGGAATTTGATTTAATCATTCCAAACTAACTTTCTTCTTTAACCATTCTTTGGTTGTGCAACTTGAGTATTTGGGATCATTGTCTTGATCTTTTTTTCTGAGTTTCAGTTCATGGACAGTATACTGATATTTTCCTGAAGAATTTGCTGGTACAATTCAGAATTCCATCCATGATGGTAAACTATCTTGTTTCAGAGGTACAAAGGAGGCTCAAACCATGATACTGCCACTACCATGATTCACAGATAAATTTCTTATGTTACAATATATATTTGCCAAACATAATGCTTTTCAATCAAGCCCAAAAGTTTTATGTTGGTCTCACTTTCCATAAAATATTCTTTCAATAGACTTCTGACTTATATATGTGGTCTTTTGCAAATTGTAGATGAGGTGAGCAGCAATGTCAGCTTTATTTTTTATATATCTCCTTTGTATGAGCTATGACAACTTTCTACATACCCAGAATCCTGTTCTTTAAATAAGGCAGGACCTTCCATACTCACAGTTGATTATCATCCCATGGATTGAAACACCTGACTGATAATCCTAGAGGTTCATATACTGTACATGTTTTAAATCATTCTCCAATAAACAAATGAACAAGTATAATGTTTTGACTCATTCATTTAATTGTGTTTTTACCTAGTTTTAGGACTTTTATAGAAAACAAATAATGTTTTAGAATATTATACACACACACATACATACATACATACATAAATATTAAAAATTCAGAAGAGTTCACAAATTTTCAAGCACCACTGTACTGTATGTTTTTATATGTATTCATGAGACCTGGATTCCTGACAACTAAAAATATTTTCCTTTTTTAACCAACACAGTTGGTTAAAAAATCCTAAAATATTGATAGAATTCCACAAGATGATTCCAGTGCAATGTTGTATTTGTTAAATGTCAATATTTTGTGCTTTAAGAAGTTTTACTCTCATTGGTAGAAAAAATGAATTTTGGGGATAAGTTTTTATATGTGCTTAAAACTATATATCAGCAACAATCTGCTCAAATTGTTGTCAATGGGGGACTGACTGAGACTTTCAATATTGAAAAGGGAACAAGACAAGGATGTCCATTATCTCCATTATTATTTGTTTTAACATTGGAGATTTTGCTGATTCAGATTCAAGAATCAACGCTACTCAAGGGTATAAAGATAAAAAAGAATGAGTATAAATTGCAGGCCTTTTCGGATGATTTGGTTTTAATTTTGGAACAACCAACTGAAGCGGTTGATTGTCTATTAGAACTTATAACACAGTATGGGAAAGTTTCTGGTTTTAAAGTTAATAATCACAAGACTAGGATATTATCTAAGAATATGTCACTTAACGATAAGGAAAGTTTAGTTAAATCTACAGGTTTTCAGATGTTGAAAAAGGTTAAATATTTGGGAGTATATTTAATGGCTTCAAATGGAAAATTGTATAAGAATAATTATGAATTATTATGGGCAAAAGTACAAAAGGATTTAAATGACTGGAAAAAATTGCAATTGTCATTGTTGGGGAGAATTTCAGCTGTAAAAATGAATGTTCTACCAAAGTTTCTTTTCTTGTTTCAGATGATACCTATTTTTAAAAAAGATGTAAATTTGGAGGAATGGCAGAAGGGTATCAATAAATTCATTTGGGTGGGAAGAAACCAAGGGTTAAGTTTAAGATTTTGCAAGATGCCCGAGAAAGAGGAGGACTTAAAGCACCTAATTTGAAATTATATTATGATGCAGTCACCTTAACTTGGATAAGTGATTGGCTTAATTTAACAAATAAGGATATTCTTTCTCTTGAAGGGTGGGATTTAATGTATGGTTGGCATGCATATTTAATTTTTAACAAGAAAGTTGACTGGGCTTTTAAATCACATATTTTGAGGAATGCTCTACTTCGAGTTTGGAAAAAATATTATTATAGGTTAAACTATAAAATACCTATCTGGAGGATTCCTGGACATGCAATTGAGGGAATTTCTAAGGGGATGAATTTTGAAAAAAATTCGTATAAAGAATTATTAATTTGGTCAGGTATGGACTGGCATTTAAAATCTTTAGATGTATTAAGGCAAGAAAATATTTTACAGTCATGGTTTCAATATTTACAAATAGTGGATAGGTGGACTGTAGATAAGAAAGAGGGAATAACATTAGAAGATGAAAATTTGGTAATTCAGATTAAAGATCAGAATCAGGCTCATATAAAAAGAATGTCAGAATCCAATTATATTTCATCTTTAATTATCAAATATAGAAACTCCCAATTCTGCCTTCTCTGGATTCTGCCATAAGAGGGAGAGAAGGGGGAGAACAAAGGGGCTTTATGGCCCTCACTTCCTTCAGTAGACTTCTAGGGAGCTGAAAGTGTTTATTGCAACTTCAAAGAGAGACTTTGAATGTAAATAGCATCAAAGAACTTTACCATGACAAAAGAGAGCTAATTACCTTTCATGTAGTTATCTGAAGTCTCCATACAGACGAAAGAAAGGAGCAAGGGGGTGGAATTGTGATGCCTGAAACTATCACTGGAAGGGGGGGTGATTGGGTGGGACTGCTGGGGAACCCCTTAAAACCTTGAATGGGAGAGCTTGGACCCCAAGTCCTGTCTAGCATGCCTGCAACCACTTCTTCTTAATAAAGGATTCCTGTTGGAAGAATTATTCCAAGAGTTCTGTCTTCTTAAGATGCAAAGTGGGGTGGGTCCTTACATTAGACAGGACTTGCAAAATTAATCCACCTGGAAGGGAGACCCTTGCCGGGGGATTTTGCAAAAATTTACCATGTCAGACAATGGAGCAAGAGAGGGGGAAAACTCCCTGGAAAGAGAGCCGCTGACCCAGTTGGAACCTTGCCAGATGTTGGGATCTGAGAGGTCAGATTCCTCGGGAGAAGAAGTGGTGGAGACACAGGACCACAAGCCTCGCTGGTCGATGGGCGTTGGAAAGAAAAGTGAGTGGGGAAAGGAATCAAGAAAGGTGACCCTGAGACGGGGGACCAAGCAACCAGAATGGAAGCAGGAGATGGAGAAATCCCTGCACGCAAGTGAAGAGGGAGGAAGCTGGGCACCGTACTCAGACTGGATCCTAGAGAAAGCTATTGACCTGATGAAGAGAACTCTCAGCTTCCTAGGAGAGGAGAATACTGAGCCCTACGGCCGCCCCAGTTCCTGGAGCCGCAAAGGGAGAGACACCGAGGGGGACGTGGAACCTGCAACCCCAGGGACATCTACTGATCCAGGAGCCCCCACCCCCTACCGGACCACAGATGGCAATCTGGACGGAAGACACTACCACCCACAACGGAGGCACCGATCCATTCCAAGACGTCCACCGTTGGAGGTGAAATTCAAAGGGGAGCCAACACGCTTGGGGTTTTTCCTAACCCAAGTCCTCAGCTACATGGAGGAATATGGGCAGGACATTCCCAGCGACAAAGCCCGCATCCGGATCGTGCAATCTGCCCTGGATGGACCAGCTGCAGATTGGGTGGTGAACTTGCATGACTCCAATGCCCCAGAACTCAGTAACTTCAACCGTTTCATGTCCTCTTTGAGAAGACGATTTGAAGACCCCCTGGCTGATCGCAAAGCCCGTGAAAGGATAAAAACGATGAGGCAAGGCAAACGCCCAGTGGCTGAGTATACACAAGAATTCCGGGCCATTGCCAGCAAACTGAATTGGCCAGAAGACATCCTCCTTGGCCATTTCAAAGACGGACTAAACTATGATCTATATGATGCTTGCCTGCAATGGTACGTCTTGGCAGAGGAAGCAGAGATCGACATATTGAAGAGGCACCGCCGAGGAAAACAATGGAGCCGCCCCCCGCCTGAGCTGACACACCAACCGGTGAAATCATCGGATACAGCCAAGAAGCAAATGGGGTGTTTCAAGTGCGGAAGAGAAGGGCATCGAGCTGTAGAATGCCGCTCAAAGGCCCCCCAGCACAACCCAGACAGATCCCCAATCAACAAACCCGGAAAGTCTTCAGCTAAGCCAAAAGAAACGGCCATGAGAATGATGGAAATTGCAGAACCCCCCACTTCTGCTCACCAAGGGGAAAGAACTCCAGCCTACACCACAGGGCCGGTGGATGCCTCAGATGACAGCTCGGAGGGCGAACCCCTGGTAAGTGGATGCATCACACCCATCCTCAAAACAGTGACTATATTAATCCCCCCCCATGCCCGAAACTGTGAAGGTGAAAGCCTTAATAGACTCTGGCTGCACCCGCTGCCTCATTAGCCCAACACTAGTGGGGAATCTGGGCATCCCATCCAGGAGACTGGAACAACCAATCTCATTTGGCCAGCTAGATGGATCCATAGCAGGGGGGGTGCCAGCTACCCTAGCCACTCTGCCAATACACCTCTCCCTGGGCAACCATGAAGAGGACATAACGTTTGTGGTGACCCCAGGTATGGAATGCCCAATGATTCTAGGGATGGAATGGTTGAAAAAATGGAACCCCTGGGTAAATTGGAGGACGACAGAAATCAAATTCCCGAAGGGGGACCCTATGGACTTAAAACCCCAAGGGAGGCTACCAGAATCAAGAATAGAAAAAGCATCCATAGGAGAGGAAAAAAGATTAACAGAAATACCAGAGGAATATAAGGACCTTGCTGAAGTCTTCAGTGAGGAGAGGGCGAATGAGCTTCCCCCCCACCGACCCACAGACTGTACCATTGAATTCAAGCCTGGGGCAAAACTCCCGAAGCCCAGATTATACTCCATGAGCCCAAAGGAGAAGGAGGAAATGGAAAGATTTATTAAAAAAAACCTAGAGAGAGGTTTCATTGAGCCAGCCAAGCCTAAAGTGGCTGCCCCGGTCCTTTTTAGAGAGAAGAAGGATGGCTCTTTACGTTTATGCGTGGATTATAGGGCCCTGAATACAATCAGTGAAAGCAACCTATACCCGCTGCCCCTCATGAAAGACATGCTGTCACACCTATCGAAAGGGAAAATTTTTTCTAAACTAGACCTAAGGGAAGCTTACTATCGCGTGAGAATCAAGGAAGGGGACGAATGGAAGACTGCATTTAACTGCCCCATGGGGTGCTATCAATTCAAAGTCTTGCCATTTGGATTACAAGGGGGCCCTGCAGTCTTTATGCAATTAATCAATGACGTTCTAAGGGAGCACCTGTTTAAGGGGGTCCTTGTTTACTTGGACGACATTCTTATCTTTACCGAAACAAAAGAGAACACGTCAAACTTGTCAGAGCGGTTTTTAAAGAAGCTGCGAGCCGCTCACCTATATGCCAAACTCTCAAAATGCGAATTCCACCAGGAAAGGATAGACTACCTAGGCTATCGCATATCCCCACAGGGCATTGAAATGGACCCAGAGAAGGTCAAAGCAGTATTAGATTGGGCACCACCCCGCACAAGAAAGCAACTACAAAGTTTCCTGGGCTTTGCAAACTTTTACCGCCAATTCATCCCCTCATTTGCCCAGATAGCCTTGCCCCTCACTAACTTACTAAAAATGAAGGGAGCATCCTCAGTAAAACCTAGCCAGCCACTAACATGGACAATGGAGTGCCAAGCAGCGTTTGAGAGACTAAAGAGACTTTTTTCTGCCGAACCAGTACT